AAATAAATTTAAATCGTACATTAAAGTAAAACTGCTTGCTAAGGCTTATTATAATATAAATGAATATTTAAACGATCCTAGTGCTTGGATATGAGTTGCTCCAGTATATATTATAGGTAACACGACTGAATCTCTCGGCTGCATTTCCAGACTCTGGGGCGATCGTCAACATCCACGACTGTTTTAATGTAAAGTGGGAACAAACCGTGATCCATGTGGTATCCAATTATTTCAGTATTATTATTATTTTCTTATGTAGCCAAGTCCACATTTCAAGGATCGTCATGCTCGCTTAAATGTCATTGCTTGTGGCGGCGTCCATGCGTCGGGTTGTCTCTCTCCCTAAAATATGGCGAGGGGGCCGATGGCTGGCCATGCGTCATACTCGTGAACGGGTGCTACTTGTGGTGACTGGTCGTACTTGAATTCGTGTATGCGGTGATGTTAATTATTTCGACTATGTGTTTGCGTGTTGTTCCCACGAGAATGTAAGTGCGTGCTCCTATTTTACCATGCCTCCTGCTGATAGGGGACAAGTCTTTGTTTTTATTTATGTTATTATTATTAATTACTTAAAATGTCATGTGGAACATGGTGTAATGGTGTAATGGTTGCAGCTCCTTACAAACGTTGTGTAAAAAAAAAACATGGCGATTAAAAAGAGTGGCGGAGAGTTTATTGCCAGTTCTTCTCTTCCGTTCTACGCCCTTGATTTGAGAACTGGCAGTAAATGTAAAATTAGAAGCATTAATATTTATTTCTTTAATGACGAATCACAAGTGTACATTGTGTAACCTACGTGAATAAATGATTTTTGAATTTTTGAATTTTTGGAAGATCTTTGTATCTATTGGAAGTACTGTTTTTTACACAGTACTGTTTACTTGATCTATCTTCTTTACGTGTCCTTCTGTCCCTGAAACACTTTTTTGTCTAAAACTTTAATTTTGATGAGTCAAAGTTGGAAGCACGTTTCGCCAGTAAACTAACTCTACTCTGATTGGTCAAGCCTTATTTTGGGAATAGTTACAACGATGATTCACTTTGACAGCTGTAATTATTTTTACGAACGAGAATTGCGCGCTGTATCCTCATCTTGACAAGGGGAATAAATCAACATTAATAATTGGCCGTGTAAATTAAACAAGGTGCGACAGATATAATCGATCTGCATTCCATTAACATACATGTATAAAACCATATTTCAAGATATAAAGAGGAAATTATCGTGAAGAGTTCGATACCAAGTGTGTACCTCAGTAACTCTCTTTCAATCAATCTAATAAGAACCGACGAATACATTCCAATATTTTAAACGTCCTCAAAAATCATTAGACCCCTCCTTGTCGGTGAGTAATTGAACACTTAAACCCGAAACGAGGTTGCGTTATGTATAATGCAGGCCATATTACAATAGCCATTAAATACGGTTCGTTCAACTTAGGGCCCTGCGAATATGTACATTAATTCCGCCGAAATTGTGACGTGGTAACGTGTTTAGAAACGAAATATATCTGTTTAATATAGTATTACAAAGTTTGAAGTGTACATTGGAAGAAAGAGATGTTTCAAGCGATTGGGCATGCATCACTTTCGTCACTTCGAATTAAAAATTGTATTAAAAGTAAATATAATGCAATATTACGTCCACAATATATATTTTCTTTAGTTCTATTTGGAGTAGAGACTTTTGGGCCGTGGGGTTCAAGTGCCCAGGGGCTAATTAAAGATAGAAGAAAGTTGGCGCCTGATAATACCGGTGAGCCCAGAGCTGGTGCTTTCCTCGCTCAACGAATAAGTATAGCAAATCGGAATACAGCGAGTAAACGCCAGTATTAAAGGTACACTGCGGCAGAGACTAAACATTAATAAAAAAGAAAACCATTTATTAATTTTTCATTATTATTACTATATAGTTTAAAAATATAGTAAATGTGATGAAAAAAAATTTGAGTTAATTTGTAATTCAGTAAAAACGAATATTTCCTGCATCTAAATCTTTCAGAGCATTTTAAAACGGCTCGTAATGTGTTTTATTTTCGTTTTATAGTGGCTGGATATAGAATCAGCACATTAATATCGTGCACAGATCTCTGTCAAAGCTTACAGAAATAGTGCATCCTGTGCTGCGCGCGAGCAGACGCCCTAAGTAGAACTGGAATCGGATAATCGATTTTACGATTTACAGAAATAACTCTCCAAGTTTCGGGTATTTCGATATCTTTAATTAGCTTTAATTAATTTAAATAAGGAAAATATTTTTGCGGCTTTTACTGAAATGTCTTTATGAGTATATTAATTTTAAGTACTTACGATAATACTTAGTGGCTTTGCGGTTTTTATTTAAACAAACCTTGTCCTAGTTTTGATTCCCTTCAACGGCAGAGAAGGATGTTCACTTAGGGTGAGATTCAAAAACGAAACTTAGCGTTATGTCTGACTGTACTGTCAGTCAATAATGTAATGGATTTTGACATACTAGTACCCGCTCAGTCTCGTTTAAGTCCCCTTAGGGTTTAGGTCCTTCCAAGCTTATAAGGAAAATGATGAAACGTGCATCAATATTCTCACTCGTGACAATACAAAGAGTATGTTTGAAGTAATAATCCTGTTTAATAAATTTCACTTTTGTCCCTACAAAGAGCAGTTTCGGCTTAGTGGCTTCAGCGTGCGACTCTTATCTCTGAGATCGTAGGTTCGATCCCCAGCTGTGCACCAATGGACTTTCTTTCTATGTGCGCATTTAAAATTCGCTCGAACTGTGAAGGAAAACATCGTGAGGAAACCGGCTTGCCTTAGACACTAAAAGTTGACGGCCTACTTGCCTATTAGATTAACACATAATCATGAAACAGATACAGAAATCTGTGGCCCAGGCCTTAAAAGGTTGCACCGCCACTGATTGGTTTTTTTGCTCTTTGAATTTATTTAAATTAGTTCCTTACATTAATACGATTATATAACAAGGTTGTATTTAATTTTCTCACAGCTAAGTAATCTTATCAAACCAGTTTCGCTCTGATAATGATAGTGTTAATATATAATCTTGATCGATATGCAAATAAACACCGCATTTATTGTTTAATGGGTCAACAAAAAGCTAAACGAAAGATTAGATTTTTATGTAAATTTCTTGAGGATTTACTGCACATTAAAACCTTCTTGCAACACATTTTTAGTTTTATAGAAAAACTGGTTGCCTAGCAACGGTTGACATTAAAATTGTAGTGACATAAGAGAGGTTGATTGAGATGATTGAGGCCGGTCACAGTGAAACACAACATCGTTATAAGTGTTCTTAATGTGGGCAAAGTTTTGTATATTATAATAAAAGTAAAAAACAACTACTAACTACTACTAACTTCAAACAACAAAAGCAAACACACTTAAATATAAATGTCTTTGGCTCTTCAGATGTAACAATAAATCGTCTCAAATGTAAAACTTGATATATCCAGTAGTATCTTTTTTAAGCGCCTATCTGGTACCTATTCCGCATTGTTAAGCAAAAGATTACTAGTAAAAACGAAACTTGGGAGAGTAATATTTTTATTATTTTTGATAAAATTTATGTTCACCATGCTTTTAGAATCAATAGATTGTTACTTATACTATAGAAAATGCATTATTTTATTAGTGTACTTTAATTAATAACAATTATTTTCATTTTTAAATTTCACACGTAAAACGATATCAAAACAAGTAGAAACTTAACCCATATGTCATAATATATCACGTCAACATTTACGATGCCCGAACATTTTGAAATAAAAACAAATATGATCTTGCGTGTGGGCTCGTAACCGCAGCATAGTCTCATCATATGTATTTATATCTTTAAAAAAACTAGAAAGTTCTAGTAATAGTTAGTTTACGACTTGTATGAGTTTACGATTACGATTCGGTACGATTTAATGTTGGCTAAGAATTAATCCTCTATGTCAAAATTGGATTCATTTGAATTTCGAAAATTGTGCGTATAAACTCCGACAGAGCAAGAAAACATGTTTCTTTTCATAGGCGATATCAATATTTGCTCTTATAAAAACAACGTGAGTAAACCGGCATATATAACATGAAAATCGATGTGTCAACAGCACAACTACTAATTACTTTTTAAAGAATAAATCAGAACCAGAAATCTGCGCCAGAAATAAAGGGTTGTAGCTCTAGACTATAAACAATGTTTTAATGATTATTTCAATATTTATTTATCACTTCAAAAGCTTTTCACTTAGGCACATTAATTTAAGTGCTGATAACATAAACACTAAACAAACGGCATAACGGAATGTTATTTTTATTACATTTCGAGAGTCGTATGGATTTTTAAGAAATATAATTTTATAGCGTGAAACCAATCGTTCCCGCCAGATAACATTATCGTTTAATGGTCACTTGGTGCACGGCATGACGCCGGTGAAATAAAAAATAAATGTTAAAAGTCGGTTCGCGCCTCGTCGTAATAACATTTGCATATCTTGCTCACGGTAAGTACTTCGACATCGATAAGCTTGATTACTTGTACTTTTTAATGGTCCCAACTACCCAGCAAAGCGTTTAACCAACATTAAAACTTAAATATATTTTTTTTAAATTTAAGTGATAGACACTTAGACACTCACCTTGGCAGAGGGTTTGCAAGTGCGTTGCCGGCCTTTTAAGAATTAGTACGCTCTTTATTGAAGGACCCTAATTAGGTTCGGAAATACATACATCGCTGCATCGGTGAGCTGCTGGTTCCACATAGTGGTGGTGCGCAACAAAATCTGCCTTAAAAACGCTCAGTTGTGGAACGTAGAGGTAATACGGGTGGAATTTCGTATTCTCCCTCGATGTCCGATGATGAAACTTAGATGCAGGTATTAATCCGAACAAAGTGTACCGTTACCGTTGTTTAAACATATAAATTCTAAGGTGGAAAACAGTAGAACATCGTTTGAAACACCGCTCAACAAGAGCCTAATTATCACAACGCAAATCATACAAACGTTAGTAAAATGTCGGACAACAACGGTTGCCATCAAACACACCAGCGGGCGAACAAACATCTCGTGTTTGATCGCCACTTTCGGTACTATTCAAATACATGCTGTTATTTGTTCAAGTGCCAGCGACACGCCACCGCCAAGTCCTTTAACCAGCGTAAGTTTATCCCAACGAATTTTAATGTTCCTTTAAAGAATTGAAGAAATGTTGAGATGGGAGCTCTGGAAATTCTGGCGGATCGTTCGACCGAATCGAGCCGACACCTTTTCTTGTTCCTTAGCAGGATTTACCTGTCACGGGATTTAACGAGCTAAGTAAGGGTTGACTAAGATGGTAATTTACATGAAGCCGCGACAGCCTCGTTAAGAGGACCTGTTTTCAGTAAATAAGAGGCCATAGTTTTAAAAGGATGTAAAATATGGGAAACAAAATAGTCTTGATAAAGGCAAAACAGAGTGACTCCGCCTAATAAAGTTATGTATACGTATTTCAAGTATACAGTATTTATAATTTTCTTAACCTACAAAATTATAATACTAATGATTAAAAATTAATAAAAATAATATTAAAACAAATTTAAAAAGTTTGGTCCCTGTGGCAGTGTATCTTTAACCGTGGCAGCATTTCCTCGCTGTATTGCGATACTTATTCGTTGAGCCAGGAAAGTGCCAGCTCTGGGGTCACCGGTACTATCTACCAGGCGCCAACTTAAATCTTTAATTAGCAACTGTGCACTTGAACCCCACGGCCCAGAGTCTCTACTGCAAAGGGAACAAAATTTGCTCTGCTCTGCGGCTGCCCCAGCTTTTTAGCTTGTCCGAGGGAGGTGAGACGCGGCAACCGTGTCCACACAGCGTAGCATCCCATACCAAAGCCCGTCCCATCTTCCAAGGGATTAATGACATCCCATCCGGCCGCTTATTAAATTGTCAATATAAATAAATGATTACTTGAAAATGAATTGTATCAAGTTGTGAGAAATGAAAATATGGTTAAAAAAACACTCCGAGTTTCCTGGTATGTTCCGTTTCACAATGTAAGACTAGAGATGAAACACGAAACCGTTTTTGGACTAACATACTTAACTTGACGTATCATGTGTGTCTACGCCTGTTGATCTGGAGATTGACCAATCACAATCCAACGGAACACGACTTTTTCTTTTACATTCTCACCCCTGGACGCGTTCAAACATATAAACCTACTTCTAACGTCGTAGTAACATAACGTCGTCAAAGTAACGATCTTATACATGATAGAAGATAAATAAAGTATTATTTTTATCCAATTAGTCTATCTTTACTCTTAGTTCAGCTTAAAGAAAAGATTGCATTTACGTTCGCGTTTTAACGTCTCTGCGAACACCATAAAAACCTTATACAGAAGTAAACAGCTACTAGAAAGTGTTCTTATGGCTAGAACTATGAACAAGTTTCAAAGAGCCATTAACTGTTTAAATACATTGGGAATGAGAAAATACCGGTAGCTTCAAACGCACGGACCGTAAAAACGGGTGTTATAGAAAAAGGCTAGCTAGCTATATAGGGAAGTGTGTCTATTTAATGAGCAGTGATTAGTTTACTATTAATCCAAGTTGTACGCGAGTGAAACTAGGAAATACCAGGAGTTGATGGGGTGTTATACAGGGTTTAGGTTTAGTTCCAATACTATTGTTACAAAAAAGTTATTAATAGATATTTCCAGTGCCTGTTACTGCCAGTTACTGTTGCTTATAATAATTAGATAGTAATTTGCCATTTTACAAATTTAGATTTTTTATATCTATAAAGCAGTGTTCGCCTAATGGCTTAACCGTATTTCTCATCCCTGATATCGTAGGGTCGAATCCCGGCTGTGCATCAATGGACTTTTAATTCCATTGGTGCATTTAACACTTGATAGTAAGGTAAAGGAAACATTTTGAGGAAACCGAAAACCTTAAACCAAACAACATGTGTGTCAGGCATAGACAGCTTATCACCTGTTACGAAATGATTCAGAAATCTGAGACCAAGGATTGTAGCGCCACTAGTTTTTTTTTATAATAAACACATGACACATGGTTACTTTAATTATAAGCATTGAACTCTTCACAGTGCATACACCAATTCATATTCAAACTATACTGTTATAAAACAATTCCAATCAGCGAGTAAAATTTCGCGTAAATATTAAATGAGCCCGCTCAATATTATTGCACGATGGTTTTTTCCGTTCGAAACTGATCATGAGAAATTGAAAACAATTTAGCCTCATATGGTATCGAACCACCTGCAGATCCAGCTTATTACATATAATTTAAGTAATAATTGACTCGAATAATTACTATGCTTAACAATGCTTCTATTAAAGTACATATACGTATATTTATAGTACTTTAGATTTTTAATATGACGGAATATATATTGAAAAAATCTACTACATTTGGACTTTCTTGCGGATCTTACATCCTACATTGGGTCATTGAAATCGTAATGAAGATGATAGTAAAATTATCATTTACATCTTTTTGTTTGGGTTATGTAAACGGTCTATCGAAATACTATTCTACCAAATTGGTGATTAGCCTTCTGTGCCTGATACACGTCGTAGACTTTTTGGGTCTAAGGCAAGCCGGTTTCCTCACGATGTTTTACTTCACTGTTCGAATGTAAATCCGCACATAGAAAGAAAGTACATTGGTGCACAGCCGGGGATCGAACCTACAATCTCAAGGATGAGAGTCGCACGCTGGCCACCACCTTTATTACTATATACTTAGCATGAATAGATACGCTGTTAATGGATTCTCATCCCTGAGGTAGTAAGTTCGATCTCCGGATATGCACAAATGGACTGCACTATATACGCATTTAACACTCCTACGGCACAGAAGGCGGATCTTCTTGCCTATAGGAAAAACAAATGATCACGAAACAGATTTGTGAATTGGTGTGAATTGTCCAATCATAAATTTTTTTTTATTTTTATTTACACATAAGATTGAATTTAAAGAGATTTTAAGAACAGTAAAACTACATCTAACTGTTCCTCGATAAATAAAAAAAAACATTAACTACAATATTTAACCAATATAAATGATTTTAGCAAAAATGTTATTGTAACTAATTAAAACGTTATTTTCAGGTGGGTTGTGGTAGCGGGCGCGTGGAGAGCAAGTGTGCTGCGTCCACCGGTAACACCTGCAACCTCAAGAAATGACAGGCATTCGTCGTTATTACAGCTGGCTGCTTGGGGCGTGCCAGCCGCACTGGCAGCGGCTGTATTAGTCACAAGAGATGTGGATGCCGATGAACTTACTGGTTAGTACTGCAATTTTATGGATATAGCATATAGCAATATTGTGTGCAGGAACAAAAGTTTTCTTTATTACTTGCATACGTTATTTGTATGGCCACAGGGGATTTTAATTACCTAATAAAGTGTCTGAAGACTGACAATTACAAGCCGCGTAATTTATGCAATGTATGTAATTTACTATAAATACTTACTAGTGTGGACTTGTTACCCCGTCTTACCTACCTCGGACAAGAAAGAAGGCTGGCGCGGACGCAGAGCAGGCGGAAAATAATAAACGGCTCAAAAATAAGTCTTTCCTCTAACTTTGATTTTGTTCCCGTGGGATTCAAGTGGTGTTCAAGTCCAATGAAAGGTTTTAGTTGGCGCCTGGTAGATAGTACTGGCGAACCCAGAGCTGGTGCTTTCCTCGCTCAAGGAATAAGTATAGCAAAACAGCTAGGAAATGCTGCCACAGGGACCAAACTTTTTAAATTGGTTTTAATTATTTATCAATTATTATTTTTTATTATTACTATGTTGGTTAAGAATATTGTAAATACTTTATATTTGTGAGTTGGAAATAAATATTTACTATAAATAACACATACATCTGTGAAATACCTTGTACTTTCGTACTAATTACTCTAAAATTATCGTGATTCATGTGCACTTTTTCTTTTTCATGTTCCCTTTTTTTAATATTGTCCAGTTCACTGTTTAAATGCTTTGTTTGGTTCCATTAGTTTTGTCTAAATAACTATACTTATTATATTTTTGCACTTGCGCTCACCTATCTAATTTTTTTCTTACATTGGTTGCCTGGAAGAAATCGCTCGAAAGCGATAAGGCCGCCAGTTGTCCTCCTTTTTATTTAATTATGTCAATTGTATAATTTATATGGTATTTGTTTCTGTACATGCAACGAAGTGTTAATAAATTATAAATAAATAACTAAAATACCGGGATATTTTTTAATTACCCACAGATCATATCGCTGGATATAAAATAAAAAAGGCTGACATCCGAGTTCTAAATATAATATATCTGTAACACCGTATTGGATCGATCGTTTGATATGTAAAAAAATCACACAATATCCGTTTTAATTATTGTAAGCGTTTGTAGCAGTTAAAATACACAACGACCCATAAAGCTTATACTGACTTCCTTAACGGCGTTATCGTCTGTACCGAATCATTATTACACAGAGTTATTCCGAAATCTTACAATCGCAACTCGTGCCCAATGGTAGCTTATGGTTGAGAGATTTTTAGAGATACTTAATTGTAATGGTAGTGCGAAAAAAATTAAGTCATATATAAGCATCAACTTGCTTGTGAACGTCATTTTAAGTCCAATAGCCCTCGAATGTTCCTTACCCGAGACAGATTGACAGAAAGTATTTCGTTTCGCACTGCCTACGTTAGTCTGTACTGACTAGTCTATGGGATAGATCAGTGTTTCCCAATGTGGGTCCCACACTGAAGCTAACCAAAATTGGAATTAAATCTCTGTGCAGCAAGCATCAAGCGCAAGGATCTCACTGAATTGAAATGATAAAGCATAGAAAAATCTTTATTTAAATTATTTGTAAGTTTTTTAGTGTTTCGTTAACGATTTCCTAGTTAGTTCTTTCTAAAACTAATCATTTAAGTTTTTTATGTGAACAATTAAATTTTTTAATATTAAAAATTATGTATGTTTCATACGGGGGCCATAACAATTTGAGGAATCTAAGGTATCATGGCACCAAAAAGGTTTATAAACACTGGGTTAGATAGAGTTAAAGGGTTGGGTGTTAAATACCACCGCACTTTTTTGACGATACTAATTATCTAGGAGTGTCCGGGGACCTTCATTGGAACACCTCCAAGTGAGTTTTGCTCCGGAAACGCGTCTAAATATTTTTATAAAAAATTTAAAGTTTTGTGTAATGTATTAAAATTTGTAAACAATCCGCCATTTTCTACTTTTCTATTGGTTATAAGTGATGTGACGTTCACTTAAAAAAATCGTGTTTTTAATTTATCGATTGTTAATAATCGTTTTATTTATTTATCGATTATTTCCTCATTTTTGAAATTTAAAGTTATAGAATAATCAACATTGAAATTAACCTAATTTCGTGTTGATAGATTATAGGGTTCCGAAATTTTTTGAAATTATCGATACCTACTCGTCTGTATTTTCTAATTAGTACTTGTATTTCATTGTTTGCAACTTTCTATATTATTTAATTTTTACTAGAATAAAGTGTTTACTTTAATATCCAAAAAGTACCCAAAACCGAATCAGAGCACCCCACTATCTACGTGGTCTTGTCTGTCTTACCCCTAGAGTGTATATAAATAATCGGAGGCGCGGAGGAAGAGCAGCCCCCACCCGCTGTAACAAAGCACAGGCATTATGAAAGCTGTAGCGGCTGAGGCTGGTCGCCGAAGGCGACCAAAAAGCCGAGGTTGCGGAGGCTTGAATAAAATGCCTGTGCTTTGGTACGCAAGGGTGGAGGGGCTGCATTTCCCGTAGCGCCGGAGCTGTCCACAAAAACAAATATTATTTAGATTGGTTAGGTTAGAGTTAGTATATGAATATTTGGTCGCCGAGAAGCCGAGGCTTGAATAAACAATTACTATTTAGATCGGAGCTGTCCACAAAAAAAATATTATTTAGATTGGTTAGGTTAGAGTTAGTATATGAATATTTGGTCGCCGAAGGCGACCAGGACGCTGAGAAGCCGAGGCTTGAATAAACAATTACTATTTAGATCGGAGCTGTCCACAAAAACAAATATTATTTAGATTGGTTAGGTTAGAGTTAGTATATGAATATTTGGTCGCCGAAGGCGACCAGGACGCCGAGAAGCCGAGGCTTGAATAAACAATTACTATTTAGATCGGAGCTGTCCACAAAAAAAATATTATTTAGATTGGTTAGGTTAGAGTTAGTATATGAATATTTGGTCGCCGAAGGCGACCAGGACGCCGAGAAGCCGAGGCTTGAATAAACAATTACTATTTAGATCGGAGCTGTCCACAAAAACAAATATTATTTAGATTGGTTAGGTTAGAGTTAGTATATGAATATTTGGTCGCCGAATTTTCAATTATTTTTAATATTAAAATCGAATACAAAAATCGATTTTCACTTTTAAAAAAATCGATTATTTTTCACATCCCTATTAATTTTATAAACTTAATCGGCCATTTTGAATGTGGTTTATGCTAGACTAGCGGTAATTAGTTTTACAGTGCAAAGTTTACTTTATAAATCTTTATAAAATTTTTGACGCGTTTCCGGAGCAAAACTCACTTGGAGGTGTTCCAATGAAGGTCCTCCGAGACTCCTAAATAATTAGTATCGTCAAAAAGTGCGATGGTATTCAAAACTGTTACCCGGTAGCTGCAATTGTTCAATTTAGTAATTGCGATTGTGATTTAGAAATGGAAATATGGCGCACCGTAGCAGAGGCCCAACGGTGGCGATTCGCGGTTTAATACGCCTTTGATTGGCGGTTTCTTCAAAGGATCGGCATTCATACCTTCCCATTCATGTGTTATGTGAATAAGTATTGTATTATTTCACCTACGTGTACTCAATAGGAACAACGATTTTTTGCTGATATGCTCGATGCCAAGTTCTTGTACACCCTATACAACAGTAAGATTTCTTAAACATGTTTTTCGCATAACTCTTGCGTCACAAACATTTTAAGTTACAAGAATCTAAATTTCACAAATTAAATAATTGCCGTCGCTTTTAGTATCAATTCGAATTTATACATTAATGTTACACAATTTCTACTACTACTAAGTGAAATTTGCGTACGAAAAAAATATCTTTATATAAATCTTCTGTGCGTGTTTGTTTACTCTTGGTCCAATTTTGATGAAATATTTTGTGTGTTTAGGTGTATCCGAGAATAGTTTAGATTTACTATATATAGTTTTTGTATTTACGACGTCTGTTGAGACATTGTGTTAAAGCCCAAATGTGTGTATTTTTATCACAGTTTGAACTTTTATTAAAATTAGTTTTTTTGTTTAATGTCCTTAAACTAAAATGCTTTTTCTACACAAAGCGTAGCGACAGTACTTCACAACATCGTTATCTATGGAACATGATTAAGACAGTGTAAGATACCGCCTTGTTAAAAGCAGAAAATTTAACTAAGGTATAAGAACTTAAGCCGAAACTAAGACCTTTCAAGAGTAAAAACAGCCGACTTAGATAAACTCAAGGTGCGGTAGCATTGATAAAAGTTTAAATATTATAGTTCTAGCCATTGATGTCCCGCACTTCAAAATCCGTCTTGCTTTCGACGAAATTTTATATTATTCTAAATATTCATATAATACAATCTAAAATTTTGTCTCTGTATAGAGGAGAACAAAAAGTTTGATCGGTTTTCTATAGTCTATGTTTGATGTGAACGTCTCTGTCCTTTTTTATTAACAGCCAGTCTTTTAAATATTCTTAATTTTTTCCCCTGCCCTTTCCGTCTGATTCTCAGGCATATTGCAGTTTCAATCATGCTGCGAGTATATTGTTTATTTCCTTTTATTATTACCACATCCATTATCCATAGCGTCTAAAGAAATGCGCGGCCATTATTCGAGCCGTTAAATACGACACCTTTCCTCTTCGCTCGCTCGTATTTCAATTTTAAATCGGCCCTTTTAACCACTGCCTTATTAATGCAGCCTTTTTCTCGCCGTGTGTTTGTGTAGGTGTTCGCTTTGAGAGCTGCTTTATTGGAAATCGGAATGTTATTCAACTCGCGAGAAGAAGCCGTATCCGCTAAAACTGTTCAAAGTATTTTGACTTTATTTTTTCAACACATTCTTTCTGTTACAGGTACATGCTTTGTTGGGAACCAGTCTAGCAAGTCTCTGCTCGCCTTAGTTATTATTCCGGAAGCGATTTGCCTGCTACTCGGCTCCGTGTTCTTGGCTTCAGGATTGAGGACAGTTCTACGCCGTCCGACGCCAGTGCCAGTCCCAGGGCCGTTGCTGAATACCCCAAGTCACCCTCAACCCCACACCGACCAAAGTATCCTGCGATTAGGAGCGTTTACTGCTCTTTACGCAGTTCCCTCCGCTTGTATATTGGCAACGTGGATTTACGAGTATGCTTGGAGAGATGATTGGCTCACTGGGCCTGTCCCATCAAGCGAACCCTCAACGCAGCCTCGACCAGCTCTCTGGGTGTTCCTATTTAGAATATTCGCTACGCAAGTTCTGGGAGTGATGGTTGCCGTTTGGATTGCCACTCCGCGTCTCAAGGCGTTGTGGAGGAGGATCAGTAGTCCCAGAAAACCTGTGATTGCGAAGTCCCCAGTTGGCCCTCCGCCTGCACCGCTTTCTATGCATTGTTATGCTGGCCACCCGCACACACTCAACCGGCATTCACATAAATATGCGACTTATAGACCCCCACAGCAGCAGTCGTATCGTAAACCAAGACATTACCACTACTCTGCCGGCGAAACTATTCTATGACAACTTAAAAGATACTTACGATTAAAAATTGACGGCGATCAATAGCATTTTAACTATGATCAATAGGATGGTGCCACAAACTAATGTAATTCACAGTTGTTTTGTTATAGTCTATTAACTTTTAGTTTACCGAGCCAGAAAGAATTGTGCTGTTATCGGAGTGCCATTAAAGCGTTTAAGTTGTAGAATGTAAGTTTGTACAATAATTGTAAGTAAATCTTGCCACTAATAAAGACTGGAGAAGTTTTGACTGTATAAAATAATCTAACCTCGCAAAGTGTATCATCACTGCCTAAACATATTCAGATATTTTTTTGTAAATATACTGTCAAGTAGACCTATATATTGTACTTAATTATTATAATATTATTCATTCAATTTATTCTTGAAACTCCACAATATCAATCTTGCCAAGAATGTTTCCTATGTAATGAATAAAAAGTATGTAAGTTGAAGAGTATTTTTGATAAAACTAATTTATACAAAAAATGCAGTAGACCAACTTTAACTAAATAAAATTTTCAAATCTTTTAATATTATAATTAATAAGATGTAATGGAGAAAATTTATATAGCTAATAAGCCCACCTTTGTACAGTTGTAACATAGAAATAAGATATATCTAAGCATGTAAATATATATTTAACTAAGCTATGAAACTATTTTGTAAATAAATTGATGACATAATATGATATTTTTTTTACTGAGATTTTTACATTTCCACAATTCCTGTATAGTCTTTCTGTGTTAGAATTCTGGGACCTAGCGTTGAACAAGCGCTGCTACATAGTATTTCCAAATAGACACTTCAATAGCTTTGACTCTTTGTCTTTATAGCAAGCTTGCGAAATTAAAACTAAGTATATTGCAATAACTGAATCGAATTTGGACATAAAACTTAATATCTTTAATATTGGCTCGGGATCGCGGAAGACAAGTCACGGAGCAGTTATTTTTTTTTTTTTTATAGAACGGGGGGTAAACGGGCAGGAGGCTCACCTGATGGTAAGTGATACCGCCGCCCATGGACACTCTCAATGCCAGAGGGCTCGCGAGTGCGTTGCCGGCCTTTTATTTCTGTGGTGATTAGTTAGATATCTAACAATAGTTAATTGTATCTACTTATTCAAAAGAATGTAGAAGATAGCTAATTGACCAGTGTCGAGGCCAGGGTTTGTTTCATATTTAAAGGTTGTTAAATAAGTAGATACCTATAAATGTAAGAGGACCACGGAGCATTTAACAGTCTTCTCAGTCTCTCGGATGTGGAAAAAAGTTTATGATCAATGCTAGTGTTGAGGCTAGGCGTGCGACTTGAGGGCGTGCGTTTAAACTCCGACTCTTCTTGCCCTAATTAATTTTTAATAATAAGGTGAACAAAAAACATGCGAGTAACCCATATATATTGATGATAATATGATAAATGAACAGAGGCATAATTGTGACGGTCTTGCCTTATTGGAGATGTGGGATTTTATACTATAAACCTATTATGTGGGTATTACTATGTGGTTCAAACCTTCGGTCTCAGTGTTGAGGGTCGCAGCACGAGTCTTACTTTGCCAATATAGATTTTACGTCCTTGGAGTAAACATCAGTACTGTAGGATCAGGAAAATCATGACGTGTACAATGCGATTCCCGGACAGGAACCAAAATTAAAATTACGTTAATTATTTCTTTAAATTTAAAGTTGGCAGTATGCACATCCCAGAGAAATTTAAAAAGAAAGTCCTGCATCTAGTCTTGTGAAGAAACTGCACTTGTGTCTCTATAGAGAGTAGTAGTCGAGAACATAATAGCAGATTTTTAAATGACGTTTAATATTTGCAGCCTATTAGTCTGTGCTAAATTACTATTTTTGTTATGTTGGCAACACTGACAGTTTTTGTGACACTTGATTGGGATTATATAGTGCCATTTTCTTTCGAAAGTTCGCGCTCTGCGGCTAGGTCTCCTTCTTACAGCCTCTTTGCCTTAAATGATTTGTTGAAGGAGCTCATTGAGATTGAATCAATGAAATGTCTTTGCTACGCGATATTTCATAATTATTATATTATAGGTTGTCTTCTAGCACAGACTACATATTTAAATATATTCTGTAGTTATGTTGAATAAAATAACAACTCAGATAAATATATCTTTATTTAGAGAGGCCAATTAAATCTATTGCAATAAGATTACAAATGCTTTGATAAGATAAGGATACAAGCAGGGTTGGGAATAACTTAGCTATAAAATATAAAAATACAGTTGAAAAAATGGATAAAATCAGACCATCATTAAAATGAAGAAATGCAAATGTTCAATCTTTGAAGTAACAAATCGAGTACATAAAAAACTAATTTGTGTTATTTACATAGGAATTCTATGCCTGAATGTTAGTTTAATCTGAAAGCACCTTCTTGGATGCCTAAATTTAATAAATTTAATACTTAATTATTTAAATCTATATAGTTCACTAATCATTAGTAATATTTCCATCTTCTAAGATCGTTGTTAGATTTCACCCAAAATCTCGTCTTCTGAAAAATTAAAATTTGCTGTCGTAAGTTTGTCATCATTTTTATCGACTTTAACTTAAATTTGGGATACATTGAAAATACTTGTGATAACCTCCTTCGGTTTAAAGTCGGTTAAAAAATCTGCCGAAATCAACCGGAAGCAGCGAAAGCCTAAAACTGTACTAGTTTACTCAATGCGTCGGCTAATATTAAATATTTTTTATGTTTCGGCTAACAGTTACAGTTCTAAGACTGTAAGACTAGTATGCCATAGACTTCTTTTGACTCGACTCCTGGCCTTGATTCGCAGCATTGGAATCAATAGATTTTTTTTATTTTAAGAAGTAAAATCAAGAAAAAGGATTAGATCCATTACATTTAAAAAATAAGAAATTTTGATGCAAGGATAACTCACCTTCAACTTCGTCTCAGTCAGCACGTGTCAATTGGCGTCGTTGAAGAAGAGCTTCAGCAAGATCGTGTTGCAGGGCTGCTTTTTGCCGAGCCACATTAGCCGGTACAGTTGAACGCAAACCGTTTACTATATCTTTCGTTTTACCTGAAAATCAAATTAAATTTAAATACTAAAAGGATTTAATTAAACAAAGTATAATGGAAGGTACACAATATAATTCACTGATATTCACTATGTAAAAAGGCTTACTATAAAGTCAACGATTATCTAGTTGATAAAAGGGCCTGGGACTAGTGCTAGACAGGCTACTTCTAATTAATTTGCGATATTTGTTTTAAAATAAGTGTTGTTTGATGATTTGATATTTTAAAAGAGTACCGAGAGTTTTTTACTCCGGCTTTTTCTCTCGGCCTACACCCTCTGTCTTCTTTGCCGATGAGTAGGGATGCCTACAAATTCAAATTTAATGACGTGGAATTAATTAATTAATGTATTGATATTCGGTAACTTTCCGATATTTTATTACTTATTCTGCTATTCGGAGCGGAGAAGAATCGAAAGAGATAAATAACATCGGTCCAGCCGATCTTGAGTTATAAGTGGTGTAACTAACACTAATTTGTTTTATATATAGCCCATATAGTAAGAATATGGACAGCTTATGGCACAATTAGATGCTTAGAAGAAATAAGAAGATAAAATATTCTCATCTATCATGTATAAATATACATTTTTAAAAACAATAATGAAGGATGATATAGTCAGTTAGAATTAATTAAATAATATTGTAATATGGAAATTAATTCAAATGCAAAACAAAGAAATACGATGGTAACAAAGAGAGGCAATGAGAGTACCACCCGTCTACAGAAGACAATATTAAAATAATAGAAGGACAAATTAATTTAGTATTGGCGGAAGAATAAACAGCATGGGAGTCATGCCAACTAGCATCTAGCTAATTTAATTTTTATTTCCTATGCATAATTTATTACTTATTCATATAAACATTGTATGTCATAAAAAAAGGTAATTCATTGACAGTTCTCTTTTCTGCTTTTACTAAAATTGTTACAGTAAAAATCTACTACACCATTTATTAATTGTTCTATTCTATACCCATGATGCCATTCCTATTACTCCATAGATTTTATTATAGAAAATCTATATGAAAGTTATTCAACATCTACATCAGCAAAGAAGCCAGGTATTAAGGTTTACTTACCAAAATATATATCATTCAGTGTGTTACGTATTTTGTTCTCCATGTCTTCTACCATTCTACCAATATTGGCAATATGTGGTGTCACATCACTAACGGCAGTATCTTGCTCAGCCTACAAATATTTAATAAAATATGTAATAAATTAACACACTAAATATTATGTTATAACATGATATTTAAAAATAAAACTGACATTTGCTAATAAAGTATGTTTTTAATTGTAGTGTTTTGTCTAATTTACAAATTTCAAATACATTCGATCTTTATGAAAAGAAACCATTTAAAAACCTGATATGAAGTTTTTCAATTGTATCAGATAGTACCTATCAATTCCTCTTAGCGATAAAAATGTTCCTATATTAATGTGAGTATGGAGGGTGTTATAATTTACATACATTATTAATTTATATTTATATATATTATTTAACTGGGCCATCCACAAAATTTATGTCATTTAACTTTAAATTTTGTGTTACTTTGATACTTTAAAAGAAACTCAAATATAATGAATTATAAGGGATGCAACAGGCAGCATCAACAATCTCTTCCTGGCAACCCTAGTAAGGAAAAAAACTAAAGTGCATAACCAAATCAACAAAAATAAAATTACAAGTAATACTGAAAAATTATAGAATTTTGGTTATTCTTCTACTTAATTGAAAATAAAATTATTAAAATAAACTAAAAACTAATATTAAGGTTCATGAATCACAAGAATCAGAAAATACATGAATTACAAGAATAACAATTGAGCAGGATAGGATATGGTTAAGAACTGTTTATGTAGAAAACTTTTAATAGAGGTTAGGGAGGTAGCCAATTGTATGGAGTTAGTCAGAGTGTTCCACAACTGAATGGCAGATCCTAAGCAAATTGCCTAAAAGGATGAGCTGTAAGATGGAATTTCCAAAAAGCATCTATGAGAAGAGAGTAACATATATGTATAGTTATAAGAACCTGAGAAAATTAATTTGTTTAAGTGCATGTAATTGACTTTTTACCTGTCTAGTTAGACTTCCCCCAAGATTCATAGTTCCACTGCCTTCTTTATTGGTTTGCAGCCATAGCATGGCAGTTGATGTCAACTTATAATGAGCATTACGTCCTGAACTTTTCTCTAACACCTCCACAACATGGATTGAGTCCCAGCAACCCTTAATCTTTTGAGAGCCATCACCAGCCTTCTTTATTAATATCACACCTGTAAAACAATGTGATGTAATTTGTAGTGTTTTATTATTGTTGACAAGAATAACAACATATATTGAACTAACTTTTAATTTGTTTACAAACTAAAATACGTCCTATTACTTCAAATTTCCTTCTACTATACCATTTGAAGAAACAAGCTATTGAATAACAGTTTAATCAACAAAGAAATACACACCAGCAAATCCATGATCCATGTCCCACAAATACACAGAACTTACACCACCCTCAAAATACATTTCTCTGTATTGGTCAAAAGCGTGATTAGCTTCTATTTCTAACTTTCTTAATCTCTCAGAGGGCATTGACCCATCTTCAAGTGGTGGATCATATGTATTGGACCATGGTGATCTGTACGAATCCCCGTCTCGATTATAATCACACAGCAAATAATCTTTTCCGTTGCTACGGTCCTGTGCTATCTTTAAAGGTTGGTCCACGGATGATAACAAATCCTCACACAAGCTCGGAACTAGGTCGATCAAATCGGTCAAATTCTTTTCAATCTGTTGAGGCGGCAGTCTTCGCATCAAATCTAGAGCACAATCCATTTGCTGCTCTGTCTGAAAGGGCAAATATTCGACGATAACATAAAATAATCTCATATATAAGCATTAGTCATCACAACAAACTTTGTACTAGTCAGTATTAGCTAGCGAATAAAAATTACTAAATGTATACCATACCATGATTAAATATCTTTATTTACAATAACTAATTATGACAAATAATATAAAATTTTATAATTTGGTTTAAGAATAGGAATTTACAAGTTTTGGGAGTGCACTGGACGACCAACCAACCATTGATTAACGAACTGTCAAGTGTCAATTATCACTTCACCATATTTTTACATTTGTCGTTAGAATAATGTCCCTAATTATACAGATAATAAATTAAAATAAACTGGAACACTATGTTTGGTAATAAAACAGAATTAAATATTTAAAGATGAAATAGATGTCATTATTGCGTAGATTTACTTTGTGAAAAACTGTTTCTTGATATTGATACTGCTTATTAGTTTAAATAGCTATTTAAGAAAAAAAATTTTACCGCCTTTTGCAAAAATCCAGAGTGAAGGTGAATTGTCATCTTAAATAAATGTTTGCAGAGAACTGCCAAATCCCAAAAGTTCATTTATTGTTGTTGTGTCAAACTTTTGTAATTTGTTGATACTTTCCGCAAAATAGGTACTGTATTAAAATTATAATTAGCATTAAATAGAAACTAGTCAAAGTAGCTGAAAAAGTTATTCTTACTTCGTTGGTCCCTTATTGAAGGCATGTTAATGTTATCTTTGTTCACATAACTGTGATTCATGTTACGGGAATGTTATCCGCTATATTACACCTCAGTGCCTATAAAACTTGCCCAAACGAGATGCAAATCATTTTACTTCACCGCCTAAAATGATATCAACAGTAAAGCGTAATGATTAAATATTGTATGTCTATAATTGGACAATCCTAGGTTATTCAATGAAACCTTACGACTCGTCAGGGTTTTCTAATTAAAATACTTAGACATTCATACGGTTTACGTGATGTATTAAACATATTACTTTAGTAGTATATCTTGCAAAGTAAAGAAAACTATCTTTTCATAAAATTTAATCTTATATTGTACTTAACATTGGAATGCATCTCTTTCCTGTGTGTCTTGTAAATATCTTATAAGTATATGTAAAAGATTTTACATTTGTATTGTTATATAAAGTTAAATATGTGCCATTAAGGGGAATATAATACTACAAAAGTTTGCTTACTATACTTATAAAAATCTGGGTTGAATACATGAATAGGAAGGATATTGAATTTGAAGTGATAAAGTGATATTCACCAATTACATTCAATGCTGTATTTATAGTCTATTTTAAAATTTCAGAAATCTCCAAAGATGCCAACACAGTTGGTTGGGCAGGATAACCATGCCAGTGATGTGCGGGTGAAGACTGTGTATAGTGGTGATGTAATGATCACATACATCAATCACAATATTACCCTTGAAGAGTTCACTCAAGAGATGATTGCCATCTGTCGTTTTACACCAGATCAGGTATGTCATTATATATTGTACCTAATTAAGATACAAAAAAAAGAGACAGTGTTGAATTAGTATACAAAAAATTTTATCTATTTAAAAGGTAAACATATTACCAGTTATAACCTTTTTAACAGACTTGTTGCCTAAAGACATATTTTAAACATTGTATACTATGCTTAAACATTCCTCTCATAAATAAGTTCCTACTGTGAAAAGTTGAGAAAATAACTTAGCTGCATGACCAATCATGGTATTATAGTTTAGTAACAGTGTACTAAACAGAGGAGAACACAAACATGAGAAAAGAATATTAGAATTTCTATCATAATTACATTAACTAAGCTAATCTAAGTTAGATAGAAATAGGATAGTAATATAAATAACTATATTTGGTGTATGTAATTATATTTAAAAGATAATTCAAATTCCTGCTGCATAAGTTTAAGATAATATTATGTGTGATGTAATATTTTCAGGTGTTTACAATGAAGTGGGTAGATGAAGAAGGCGATCCCTGCACAATCTCAACACAGCTGGAGTTAGACGAGGCGTTGCGTTTGTATGAGCTGAATCGGGATTCGGAGCTCACTGTTCATGGTAAGTAATAACTTTAGAAACTTATTCTAGGCATAAGGCAACGAATCCTAATGTCTTTCAGAACATATTACCTTTATCTACAAGTTAATGTTACAGATATTTAAAAAATAATTATTTATGTTACGTGAAACCTAAATAAGCACATGAGAAAACAAGGTTTTAGTTTATAACAAAGACAATTATGTGATTTATACTAATTATGTACGTACAAGTAATGTATTCTACAATTTGGGTAAATTACTTTAATTGTAATGACAAAATTACTCCTAAGTAGCATGACCATAAATTTTTGATTTTCAATTTTCTTACTGACTAGATAAGTAGAGAAACTTATGGCAAAGTTCAATTATTAGTTGTAACAGTTAGGTAGTGATGTAGGTATATTTGGAACTAAATATGAAGGTGCTTTAGTTTCTGCACAATATTGGTATTGTGAACTTAGAACTATGTATATTAATATGTATTAGAAAACGCTTTGTTGGTGATGGAAACAATGTATGTTATTGAGTACATATTTGTTTAAGTACTTTAATATATTTTTTTTATAAATGATTAGATTTAAGTGCTGCAAATAGTTCTTATTAAAGGACAGTTAAATTTTTATTGAAATTTTAAATATAATTGACGGATAATAACTTATCCCTATAACTTAAAAATTTTACGATTTTCTTAAAACCGTAATTTTGATATCTAGATTCTAGTAAAAAAAATATTCAGTAAATACTATAGTCTTGGCGAAAAGTTAATAATGTAAATTAGGTACAAAATTAGGCAGTGATTCATATATACTATTCAAAATGAAATTATAACAACGATTTTGATAAAATACAGTCGAAATGGTGATTTTGATTTCATACTATGTATTAACATAAATGAATAATTTATTTGACTGCCAAAGTTTTCAGCACAAGTTGAGATGTCTATCTTGAAATATTGGAATTAAGGAATAAATTCGCATAAATTACCACAACTGACCGCACGAAAGTTTAAAGATTTATTTACTTAAGAACTGCAAAAATGATTTTATGATTCTTGTATATTCAGCCGAAGAGGAAAATTAAGTTTCAGTATTCTTTAAGTATGTAAGGAATTATATAGAAAGCAATTTACTAACAGTTTAGTGTTAAACTCATGAAAGTTTTTTCATAACATTATTTTTATTTATTTATTTTGACTTCGTTTCAGTAATACAGTACAATTAAAATAATTTAATGAAGGAAGGCAACTGGCGGCCTTATCGCTTTCGAGCGTTTTCTTCTCACCACTGTGAGAAAAAAAATTTAAATAAGATGAGCGCAAGAAGTGCAAAACATAAGAAATAAAATTACTTAGACAAAATTATTGGAACAAAGCAAAGAAATTAAAACTTAAACATTATTTAACTCTATAAAGATTTTGTTATATTTTGTTCTAAAGATAGCAACATCTTAACTATATTATTCCCAATACGAGAGTACCGTTCCCGTATTATCGGAAAATTTTACATGAAAACATCTATTTTCAGCTGTTTACCCATCCGAATGTAGATTTTCGCTATAAAATCCTTATCTGCCCGCATTGCGAATCCGCTCGACCGCTATTTCCATATTGAGATTGGTATTCTAGCGACGATGTTCCCGCTTTTTTACCAATCACGCGTATATCCAGTCACGTCCGATGTCGATTCACTTCCTAATAACTTCGTTTTGACGCTGATTGTTTTACTCTTATCTGGGATGACGCAATTTGATTGCCTCCTGTTCCGTAAATACCTATTGTCGGTTAACGCAGCCATTCTCCAACAGGATATTGCATACGGGTTCGATAGTGGCATATAGCACCGTTGGGATACGATGTAAAGTTGGCGCGTTCCAACCGAGAGTAAATAAAACGGGAGCGTACCAAACTTGTATGCAAACAGGGGCGGAGAAACTTGCTCTAATAATGTACAAACATTGCGGAACACTTTGGCGCCCGCTGTGGGCCGAGTTTGCTTGTGCCGCTGTCGCTGCGTAATTAGGGATATTTTAATTAACTTTGTTCGCGTTATGAAAGCCGATTTGAAATCCTATTTGTGTTAATTGAATCCGTTGCTCGTGTGAGGCCTTTGTTTGGTATTCGTTAATACGCCCTGCTTGTTCGTTAATTGCTTTTCTGTCGCCGAATGGTGATGGCTTTAAAAGTATTTTATTGCCGGATTAAGGATCAGAGGATACAATTATTTTTGTTTTCATCACGTTTTCATGTGTTTAAATAATTTTATTTATTTTACAAGCATACTCGGCCAAGCGTTGCTCTGCCTAAGGTTTTTGTTATATTACATAGTAGTAAACTATTCAAGGGAAACGGTAGGAGAACATTAGTCATGGGGACTACCATGCTTTTTTAGTGGTTATGCCATTAAATTGTAGCTTACTTTTAACACAGCGCCATCTGTTAGAATTGTGACTGTCAAATAATATACAAATAATTTGCAAAGATGTAAGCTATCCTATATTTTAAGTAGACCAAACTGCACACGGTGTGCAAATTTGTTTGAAATCGGTTTAGTAGTTTAGGTGACGAATAATTTATATATATTAAGATTGAGTGTGAGATTAATTTCCAATACTTTAGAGTTGAGTGCAAATTGTATGCGGGACCGTAAAGAGATTTAATCAGGACGGAAACTACGGGAAGATGACGGCAACTTTGCTAATTAATGTATCTTGTAATTTTGCTCTGCCTTTCAAGTGCCACGTTACATTCAGCCGTATTCATTTGATATCTGACTTAAGATTTCCTTTTTGAAATTAAATTTTATGACGGTAGTTCATCTAAAGTTTATACTAACTTCGGCTTTGGGTAGAGATAGAAAGATACCTAAACATTAAACTTGCATTTTGCACTTGTTTCTTTAATAAAAAAAATTCTTTTATTTTAATAGACAAGAGTTGTTTTCATTTAAATGTATCTTTCTATCTAATCTCTGATGTATTATATAAACACACACGGGTTATAAAGATTTATTACAATGTAACAAGGCGGATGTGCAAGGTTAGTTTTCCGAGAGGAATCGTCTGACCACTGCACATCCTGCAAATAATGCGCAGTATATGGATATATAATTTTAATGTCTCGTCACTGTCATATTGAACTATCTATTTTAAATTATATCATGGGCCATAGTTAGCGCCCTGGATCAGTGGAATATATCTATATTATTTTTGCAGTGCTACATGAAATCGAAGTATTTCCCAACCCAGATAACATAGGGCCGTCGTAATTCTTAAAAAGTCGGCAACGCGCTCGAGAATTCAAGCGCCATGGGCGGAGTAGATTTTATGTAAATTGAATTCATATTAGATATAACTAAAATTAAGATGTATGGGCTAATTCATCCAATAACCAGTAACCAATTCGACTTGGGGTTAACCTTCAACAAAAGAGCTTACCAAATACCAATACTTATAAGGCCAGCACTCGGAAGCCCTCTGGCATTGAGACTGTCCATGGGCGGCGGTATCTCATAACATCAGATGAGCCTCCTGCCCCCTGTTCTATAACAAAAAAAAGGGTGCGTGTACTTATGTACGCGCGTAAGAAGTTATACTTCTTTGGCATTATTAAAAATAGTTTGGCTTTGTTCCACCTCCAGTTTTTGATGTTTCACAGCGATAAGATGACAACTCTTTTTTTGTATTCAATTTAGTGCACTTACACTGATTCATCAATAGTTTTTTGTCTCTTGTCCTTATATTTGCTAGATTAAATCAGAAAAATTAAATGTTTTGATTAAACAATGTGGTCATTTTTTTAATCAAAACATTACTCGATAATAATAATACATACGGATAGTTAACCTCAATTGTATTGATACACTTAGGAAGGTTGATGAGCACAGTTTTTTTCACAAATATTAATTAGTATTGGTTTAAATATTCAATTTAAATCACTTGTGATTATAATTCAAAAAGCATTGCTAAATTTCTTTGAAAAAATAATTAAAACTCCTTTATTTGTTTAAAAGGTAAATGACAAATGTCATTATGGTCATTCAAAATCCTTGGCATACGAACTTCACGCATATTCTATTTCTTTTTACTTGTAGATTGTCTTATTCCTATCTCGCTCGCGCACGCTATAATCACACTCCTAATTTTGTGTCACAGGTGCGCGCGCATTATAAAATTTCACTCTCATAAATTTTTCATAACGCGCCTAAAGAAGTATAACTTCAAAAAACTATTTTACATGTCATAGATTCTTGTTAGAGACTTGTTACATTTTAATACGTGATTGAATTACTAAATAAATGTACTATAGTTACTTTGAAAACCTTATTCTACAAGAGTATATATTTCTATCGGGAAGGCAGATGTGGTTTTACTTATTACATATATAGTTAAAACGTAGGGAAATGTTTTATGCTGTGAATAGAAAACAGCTTTACTCCCAGAATATGGAAGGTTGGGACGGTTTATCGGAATTCGTGCCGTACTGTGGATTTTCATGTTACCTAGTTAAGCTTTGTGCAGTTTGAGCGTGCACTATGCAATATTGCAATAGGTGAAACATATTTACTTACTCCAGCACCTTTAGCGTATGTGTAATCAAATTGTATATAAAATTTTGTATGGAAAATTTGGGCGGCGAATTCAGAACTTATTTATCGAACTGTTGAAGAAATTTCGTGTCCAATTTCGTTGTTGGCTATCTTGGCCTAATTGCCTATTAGATTTGAAAATTATCATGAAACAGATTCACAAATCTTAGGCCAAGACCTAAAGAGGTTGTAGCGCCACTGATTTATTTATTTATTTAGTTAACTGACATAAGAGTCTAAGAATAAAAATGGTTTTTTGACCTCGTATATCATTCTAGTGACGATATGTAAGAATAGGCGTTAGTGATACAAACAAATTAGCTAGCAGAGCTCATAATAGCATATTTTAAATCGCGTTGATATTCAGTGATACGAGGAAGCGGTTATTAATTGGCTCAATCAGGGCGTGTTACGCTGTCGTTTAGCGACGTTGCCTGACGCTGTATTAGAAATTTTAATATTTTTACTCGCTGACACAAATTGCTTTACAGTTCATTAAGCTGAGAGCTTTATTACTATAGGTTGAAACGGTTATTTTAGCAGCATCATAGCAATTCAAGGTCATACAGACTAATATGGAAAAAAGTCGTTCTTTTCGAGATCAGAGATATTGTAGTGGTATAGTCTTAGCTCAAGCTGGTCGGAACCATGGCCTTGATAACGCAGATGTTTACTTAGTCACAGTACATGCAAGCCAAACTGAACGAAGAGCGAAAAAGCCGGAGTGGAACTCAAATAAATGTGCGGAAAACCCAGGAAATGCTGAACTGAAGTAGGTACTGAAGGGAGGAATGCAAATGTTTTATCACTCGGCTCGGATTCCAAATCTTAGTAGATCTCAGTAGACCTGATGAGGATATTTCCTTTCGGATACTAAAGGCAGAGCCGCCTTCCCACAGATGCGACCCATATGGGACGTGGAGTGTAATTTAAATTTTTCGCTCCAATGTGTACAGTGTTTTGCTAGATGCGAAACGTGGAAAGCCACAACGGCCATCACCGAACGAATCCAGGTCTTTGTTAACCGGTGCCTGAGACAGCTCCTGGGAATCTTAGCCTGAGAAGATTTCTAATGAATACTGCAGAAACGCTGCTGGGAAACGCCAATCGACCACCAGACTTTCATCGCAAGTGGAGATTCGCCCTTCGAAGAGTAGATCCGAGCCCAACCACATCCCCAAACATGCACTAGATTGGACTCTCCAAGTAAAATTATAATCGTGGCCACCCCAAACAAGCCCGGCGACCTTAGTTGTGACTGAGGTACGAGCTATTGGATGGAAGTGGTCCGAAGTTAAGAGTGGTTGACGCCCTTTGCCCCACATTGAGGATATAGGAAAATCAAGTTCTCGTCTTAGCTGGCAAACGCTTGTCACCATTACCCTGCCCCTTCGATTTATCATGCATGGATCGTTTTGCTAACAATATTTTTTCGTCGACTATCATCAACGCTCCGTGTTAGTTGGTGAAGACACAGTCTCTGGACCTCGAATGAACGAAACAATCTAATAGTTAGCAAGGTCATATATGATGACGATATTGTGGGGATACGTTGTATTCCACAGTATTATGATAATAACCAATGTTGGCCTAGTGGTATCGACTCTCATCCCTGAGGTCGTAGGTTCGATCCCGGCTGGGTACCAATGGACTTTATGTCTATGTGCGCATCACATATGCGTTGAAGGAAACCGATTAGACGCAAAAAGTTGACAGCATGTCAGGCACAGACGACTGATCACCTACTTGCCTATTAGAAAAAACAAATGATCACGAAACAGATTGTATAATGTATTTACCGTAATAACTGTGCATTATTGAAACAATGTGACAAGATAATATCGAATTTCATATAAAACGTAAATTCTAAAGTGAGGCGAAACCACATTCATGGTCTTATTTTCAAGGCCATTAAGCGGAGTCGAGACGCATTGAAACTATAATTATACCGCGGGTAGTTCTGCTAACGAATGACTCTGACCTCAGATGTGGAACTTGCTTTTGCTTTCACATTTTTGACAAAACATGTTATTAGACTCTAATTCTTATGAATGGACAGACACAAATGTGAGCTTGGCACGCGTAACAGCGTGACGGAAATTTAATACAAAAAATTTTAATTAACTATGGAGGTCGCTGTATTGGTTTGCAAATGTTTGAAGTCCACTGTATCCAAACAAACCTTGTTTGGATTAATACCTGCAGCTGAGTTTCGTCATCAGACGTGGAGGCAGAATACGAACTGAGCGTCTTTCAAGGCGGATTTTGCCGCATACCACCACTATGTGGAACCAGCTGCCCACTGTAGTATTTCCGCACCAATTCGACGTTCTTAAAAGGCCGGCAACGCCCCCGCGAGCCCTCTGGCATTGAGAGTATCCATGGGCGGCGGTATCACTTAACATCAGGTGAGCCTCCTGTGCGTTTGCCCCCTGTTCCTTAAAAAAATTACTTCGCAATGAAACGTATCTACGACCTCGGAGTTATGCGTGTATCACTAAGCCACGGAGGTCATACCACGTTCTACTACTGCTAAGAATCATCAGATTTATCCTTCATCCATGGTACTCTTGAATTATTTTGAAATGAACGAATATTGTATACCGCGTATACGATGAAAGTAAAAAACTAATGGTAATCTTTTTATGAAAAATGCATCAATAGAGAAAAAATCTTACAAACAAAAGCATTGTTTGGACGGCAACTACCGTTTTGGTTAACTGGGTCTCCATATAATAACAGTAACGACATTGTTAACAATTGAGCTATAAAAATTACTCTTGCCGAACTGTTATTGCCTCTTTTCACTGGAAACGGACGCATTTGATAACTCGTCTAATGTGCAAGTCTAGAAAACGTAGAAGTTTTAATTGAATTTCTGATTATGTCGTACTAATAAATAAATTACAAAACAGAAAAACTAATGGATAATATTTTTGTTATCTCAGGAGAACATTTACCATCTAAAGGAACTATTAAGCGATATGGTTGATAATTCATCTATTAACATTAACCACGGATTTTTCTGTGTGCACAATTAACGCCTGCTAGAGAAGGTAAACATCGCGAAGAAGCCGGCATTTATTAGATATAAAAATACGTATAACAAAAATGTACAGAGGAAGAGATGTTATCTGAGGCCGTAGGTTATAACTAATGGATTATTTGTTATTATTATTCTGCTCAAAGAGAGCATAGGCAAGGATTCATTAATGTACGAAGCAAGGTAAATAAATGAACAAATAAAACAAAAATTAAAAGAAAAGGTGCCCCTTTTGTACCATCAATGGATTATTTGTTATTATTATTCTGCTCAAAGAGAGCATAGGCAAGGACACATTAATGTACGAGGCAAGGTAAATAAATAAATAAACAAATAAAACAAAAATTAAAAAGAACGGTGCCCCTTTTGTACCACCAATGGATTATGTATTATTATTATTTTGCTCAAAGAGAGCATAGGCAAGGATACATTAATGTATCTACGAGGCAAGGTATATAAATAAAACAAAAATTAAAAAGAACGGTGCCCTTTATTAAGAGTTGTATCAAATCAGCCAAGAGCAAGTAATATGTTACGTATTAAAATTTCATAGTCTGCCATTGTTCATGTATGAACCACGGTCGCTAATTGCCGCTTATAAACCAGTCTCCGAGTGAAAATCGTTGCGCGCGCGCGTGTTTTTCGCGTAAATGTCAATTCTCAATGCAATGATCGCGCGTGTTCAGTGAATTGTTTTTGTGATCATGGAATCGTTGACCCCCGTTGTACATGGAGATTCTGAGGTGGTTTTGCATAAACAAACTTTATAAAATCAAAATTCACTTTGTCATACTAATAATACATATGTATATCTATTCAACATCTGTAGTGGTATAAATATCCGTTATATATCTGTTTGAGAATGGTTTTGTTATGAATTACGTATGGAATGTGTTGGTTGAAATAGCGTATAGTAATTTTAACACGGATGAGTGAAAGTGTATACTTTTTATTGTAAAAAAAATATATTTGTTGTCGTTTGTTTGTTTTGACGCGGTTCAATTGTTTTGCCGCTTTCTACTGTATATGTAATCCATTGATTTTCTCTTGTTTTTATTGAACTGCAATAGTGGATATAATCGATATATTCGATATATTCGTCTGCATACTTACGATTTTAGGTTTTGTAAATCTTCATAATAGATTGTGAAGTGAACGATAACTTTCCATTTCTTAGTGAGTTCCGTAAACATAACTGGTTTATAAGAAAACAATCAGTGGATTGAGATCTGTTTATATGTCTGTAAATCGGTTCAATATAGATTTATAGTACAATCAAATAGCTCAACGTCATATATACATTTATATGATATACGGTTTTATAGCACATAAGTTTAGGATCGTGTAATTGCGATTTTCTAGATTATTCTGTAAAATGCCAGTTGTAAAAAATATTTTGGGAGGAGTGATTTCTATATATACCATTATTATCATGATCGCTGTATTATTTGGTTTAGTATTTTTTTGGGTTAAAGAGCAAGATTAATATATACGCAATATTATATGACGCAATAAATTAATCTTGTGTCAGTCTTGTTTTGGGGGTATCGAAGTACCACCTCATCACTTGATGAACACACGGACGAGACCTTTCTTTTTACCTTTTTATAGAAAATAAAATATGACTGTCTCTGGCTGATTGGCGCGCCAACCGGGTCTGGTCCTCAGATTTCTGTATCTGTTTCGTGTCTGACGCACGCCGTCTACTTGTACATGCCGATTTACGATGTTTTCCATCACCGGACGAGCAAGAAATTTATTGGTGCACAGTCGGGAAGTCTTGTTGAATCGCACGTTGAAGCCAGGCTAAATTCAGGGGTATGTGGGACTCGACTCACTCCAGGTACTCTGCTACTCAGAGAACCGGGTGAGCTTTACCCACTAAACCCACCTTGGGTAGTACCAAAGAGGCCCTTGGGCTCGCTTTCGCATTTAATTGGGACGCTGAGATATTCATAAGAAATATAGTAAACGAAAAATGTGTAGTTTTAAGAAATACAAAAAAAATCACCAGGTTTTTGTAACCGGTTTCGCGGTGAAATGCGATAAGAGTGGTGACCTATATGCACTCTAAATTTCACCACGGAACTGTTTTAAGGTCGTTTATTGTACTTTTTTATGTTACAAAATTTTTCGAAGAACAGATTCGCGCACATTTTACATGCAGTATTTTTACAATAGCGTGTCAAGCGAAATAATCTAATATATAAAATTCTCGTGTCACAATGCTACTATCTTTCGAACCCCTAAGTGATTCAACACATATTTTTTTATTATTTGACAAAGTTTTTGTTTTTATTTTTCTATGATACAACATCCAAATTACATACAACCCTTAATTTTCACGCCTCTACGATCAACCCATATTTTTATTACAGTAGCTAGTTATTTTTATTGAACTAAAAAAATGTTTCCTAGAGATAAAATACATGGCAAAACAACGTATTCAGCTAGTATAATATATAATTCAATGATTTCACGCACTTTTTTTATTATATTTAGATGTACATTTCTTTAACGTATTAATTATTATATCTCATATATAAACTAGAGCTAAAACTGTAAAAATATTTAAATCTAGAAAAACGACGAATAAATATATGATTTTACGTGTGTCTCAAACATAATACATTCTATTAGTCTGAGACATTCTTGGAATTTATCAATATTTTCTATAGTTCTATTATGCCCAAGAGATGTTGGCAAAAAGGCTGTCTTTGTTGTTATCTTTCGCAATGGCATTCTATTACTATTGCGGCATTCAAGCTGCTAGTTGACTGGATATTTTTATAATATGGTAGTTTGATCTTGTAATGACAAAATTGAGAAAAAAAATTAAAACAAAACAATTTCTTCTTTATTGTACAGAAGTCGCTATCATTATTATTACAAGAGCTTGACAATACATAGAGCAGTGTTAGATTGAGCGTACGATTCTCTTCATCTGACTTTTATGTCTATGTGCACATTGTACAATGTACAGTCGCTAGTACGTTGAAGGAAACCATCGTCCGGATACCGGCATGCTTTAGATACTAAAAGTCGACGGCGTGTGTTAGGCTTTGCCTGGCCTGATCACTTACTTCTCTATTAGAAAAAGAAAATCTAAAAGAAAAATAAATCACGATACAGACATGACGGAGTGTTGTAGCGCCCCTGGTTTTTTTATCGTTATTCTTAATGACTAGGGTCTCATTAGCTTAGTCTAACTTTGTTTTTTTCGAACATCTAACATTTTTTTCGTAAAGAAATCTGTGCTTGATGCACGATTACCTACCAAGTCTTTATTAGGAAACAAATGGATTTTTAGAACAGGGGGCAAACGGGCAGGAGGCT